AGCACAGAACATTTCTAGAGCTCAGACCTCTTTATGATTGTGTGTGAATGGATGAATTGGCATGTGTTAAGCTCTTTAAGGGGTCGGAAAGACTGCCAGTTATCTATAGGGCGACTGCAGCTGAGGAGGCAAATGATCGTCTTCCAATTGTAGGGTCAGTGGGTCAATCCCTAAACCCTGTAGCCAAAGTGTCGAAGTGTCCTCTTGTCATGATACTGGTGTTATTTAGTTCCCTGTTTTATATTTAAATGCATTTTGTCTTTGTGTCTAGTCTTGTTTTGTATTACTTCCTGCCTCTGTTTTTCCTGCCTGTTTGATTGTCTGATTCTTTTCACCTGTGATACAGTATGCCCTCCCCACACCGAAGAAACTGAAGGATTGGCGTTAATAAAATGTATTTCTTCAACAAATGTTCACATAACAAAGCATAATACTACTTTATCAAACATAATATTATTGCTTTCAACTAACCTAATACAGTTAGTGTATGTGAAATCTGTTGACATTATACATTTATAAATGAAGTCAACGTTTCAGTTTTCAGTGCAGCTGTGCCTTGTCTCTGATAAGTGATTATTCCTGTGTCGGTTGGTTGTCAATGTTTCCCTTTTTTGGTTCCAATTTCCGTGGATCCAGGTTTCCCATCTCCATCAGAATCCTTATATTCCATTTGTTCCTCATTTTGATTTCCTGTTTTCTGTTATGCTTTATCTTACCTGCTTCACTTATTGTCATGTATTTTGTACCTATACTGTATATGAATAATGCTCGCTTTTTTCTTATTTAAACCTGCCTCCCTGTTTTATACTGCTTTGGGTTCTGCCACCCTTACCCACCCCATGACCCCTAGGGCAAGATACTATACCCAAATGACTCCTGATAGCATGGCTTAACGTGTAGATTTAAGTAGCTTTGATAAAAGAGTAATCTAAATGAATACTCTTTAACCTGTTCCACTCTGAGCCTGTTTTTCAGGTCTCAGGCTCGAAAATGACATTCCCAGAACAAAAGACCATATCTTACCTTCTAAAAGGGTTAAATTAATAATCTTTTTTCTCAAAGTAATGATAAACCTGTGAGTTGGATGTAGAAAAGTCAGAATCAATATAGATGTTTTTTATTTTAAAGAAAATTCAGATTTTACATAGTAAAAAACTGTAAATTATAGTGTCCGTCCAAAGATTATTTTTTACAGATAGTGAAAACTACCTTTGGATGATGGGTTAGTAGACTAAAAGCTTTAGGAATCCAAAGTACAACATATAATAAGTACCCTGTATCAAGATTGATGCAAAACAAGTGAAATTTGACCTTTTTAGAGAGATTTAGCCAAAAACCCCCACTTCTGGGGTCATTTGGGTGGATTTGACCTATCTCTGGCCCCCCTTACTCGATTGGGATCGTTGACACACCTTTCTGACCGTTAGAGCCAATAGAATCGAAGGGGGAGGCTCACACACACACTCGTTGTAAAGAGAAAAGGTGGGGGCTACGCGTTTACAACTGAAACTAATTTTGCAGATTTTCTCCTTCTGGAGTTTGGAAACTAAAAATCAGTTTTATTGCTTATGGATTATCAGAAATAATTTCAAAGAAGGCACAGATACATAGGATGAACCTATGGATTAACTGCAGTATCGTTTTTTTATCGTTTGAATGCCATTGAAGACCAGTTTTGACCAAGGTAAGCCATATTTGCGTTTTTAGCTACTTAGCTCCACATGTTATGATGTACGCTTTCGTTTATAGCGTCGCGAATGTTTATCACTGAGTGTTGAGGTGGGCACCGTTAGATTCAGTGTCTCCAGGACACCAAAAACGAGTGGTTGGTTTTGCATCTAGGATAAGTAATAAGGGAGTTATGAGTGAGTTTAAGTGCCTTTGTAGGTTCCGTTTTTTCGCACGAGGCTAATTCAGAGGCTGAGTGCTAGCATTGAGGGTTTTTTTTGAAAAAAAAAATTAAAAAGATCAGTTAGCTGAGTTTCTTCCCGTTACATGGATATAACACATTCATAGTTTTATTCAATATTAAGATTCCTTAGACGTTGTTTCCTGCAAATGACGCGTTTATCCGCCCGGTACCGGGGGGGTGGTGTGTAACAGGTTAAAGATCTTTGCATTTTAAATGAGCCTTGATTCGATGAATTGATGAATTTCACTCAGCCCTTTCTGGAACTTCTGTTCATTTTGTGGTTCTTATAGCTGCGTAGAAAAATGGCTATGTACTGAAACACCATGGTACTGATACTTCATATTGCCATTCAAGGTCCATTAATGTATGAGTACATCAGCAAACTTGACATCATAAATAAAAAGACAAAAGCTAGAGACAGACAAGAGACTGACAGACGATTTGTTCTGGCCCTGCCTTATCAGATCTACAGTACAGCGGTCAGGGCAGTGCACGGTCATTAAGTTGCCTATAATGAGAAGGGCTTAAAGGACGTGACGGCTATTGCCCCCGACAACCACCTCCCGCACCGATGGATGAGACGGATAACTGACACCAGACATATATACGCAGAGAGAGACGGACTGGCATGGCGATCATGCCTGCTCAATCGTATCAGACCTTCAGTACGAGATGATGCCGTGGTGAGCACTGTCTGACAGATCCTCCCTCCACCACTTCTGACATGTCAGAGACAATGATGGGGAGGGAGAGAAAGGGAGAGATGATGATGATGTATGAGAGCAATAATTGACATGACTGAGAGATTATGTTTGATAAAGAGAGAGGGGAGAAGAGATGGGATCAGGGGGGTGCGATGTGAGAATGATACGATTAAGGTCCCCAGAAAAGAAAAGACAGAAATATGTTTGACTGTGATGATCTTCATGCCTAAAAATAGTGATATGCTTTCTGGGTTTTCCCTTTCCTGTAGTGTGTTCTATAGGTTTGTGTGCATGTAAATGGTCTGCAAAGGCTCAAATCCCTGTGTTCCCTCCAGAGGGACTTTCTCTCCCAAACACTCCCCCGCTGCCTGAAACGCCTCCATTGGACTCCTTTGTTAACTTTCTTAACATAGTGACATCACTACTTAACACGCGTGCTTCTATTGGCTGATGCTCCAAAACATTGGCATAATAAGGCCCCTATCTGCCAACAGGGAGAAAAATAGGTATTTAGTGAGTTTAACCTTTCTTTATTTTACTAAACTTTCAATAAAAGTAGGCCGGTGAGTCAAACACAGAGTTCGTTTAAAGTAAATCTGTGTCTCAGAGGAGGTTCTCACTCACAGCTCTGCTCTTGGCAACATGTCAGCACATGATTACACTGACCTAGACCTATTCTGGCTGAGTGCATTCACAGTTGATTTCCTGACACCATTATCTGACCAGAGTAACAGTTAAATCTACATACGCCAGACAAAAAAACTATTTGACACCAAATATTTTGATCAGATCTAGACCATTTTCCATCTAAATCATACCCTCAAGACAGTGATGACATTACTCTAGACTTTAACAACATATTCAACATTGTGGCAAATTGTACACTTCTCTAACTGGCCTTTATCATACTGTGCATGTGAATTTAAATGCTGCTTTGGAAGAAGAGTTTCCCTTAAACGCTCAGGTCAGAAAGTGTGACAACCATGAGTGTGAGTTTGGAGAGAGTGGGCGACGACAGTGAGAGACAGAGCAAAAGGGCAGGAGTGTGTGAGAGATGGAAATGGGTAGACGGGCGACTGATTGCCATTTGGCGCCCGACAGGCGGAGAGAGAGACCCAGCTGGGGTCGTGTCACGATCTGTCTACCGAGTTATATCAGTCCGCCAACTCAGAGTGACAGAAGGAGATGGAGATATAAGGAAAAGTTAACATATGAACCTTTTCTACTAATGTATTCAAAACATTTTAGCATACTACTGCGGGTAATGTTTGCAACTTTAACAATAACAAGATAGAAAATGTGAGAGAAGGAATACCTACATTTGTTTTTTAGGTATAAAACTGCCAAAAATAAAGAACTACATAAAGTGTCTGTAGCCGCTTTTCAAAGATGCATTACTATAAACCTGCAAAATCCAATTGAATTGGTAACTTGAATTGGTCTGGAACACACCATAACATTTAAAAACCTGCAATTACAAGACATCCACCAGAAATTAACAATTTCCACCAGCATCGAACATTTTTGTGGTTTCTATGTAAGTACTAGAAATTAATACATTCAAATATGGTTGGTAGACCGTCCCAAAGTCTCGCAGGATTATGAATTTGAGCATTTTAAAGAAGTATCAGTTATAATCTGCCCTTCCAACTGATGCAGCAATTTGTAAGTGAAACAAGTAGAATTCAAGGGAAGTGATTTGATCAGAAGGCAAACATACCCATGCAGCTTAAAGGGGACTTATCATGCAAAATGCACTTTTGTACGTCTTTTATACATGAATATGTGTCCCCGGTGTTCCAGGGAACTCACCAAGTGTCAGAAAACACAACCCTCTCTATTTTCCTCCATACCCAAATCTCTAAAAAAAGGGGCTGCAACGGATCTGAGAAAAACTGATCCAGATTTGAACACTGTCCTGACGTCAGAGACAGCCACGGCCATTGCCGTTAGAAAGCGCTGGAGACGCTGTAGTACATATGCCAGGCCTGTAGATGGTGCTGTTCTCACTGAATCTGCCCTTGCAAATACAGAGCGAAAAAATTTCAAATTGAGCAAAATGAGGCATGGCTAAAATGCATAATCTGTTTGGTATTTTGAAAAAAAAAAGTATAAATAACCCTTATATAGGTATGGTCCTACACTATATTATTCAAATATAGCATGATAGGTCCACTTTAGCTTTATTTGAAAACTGTCAAGACCAACTGGCCTCTCGTGTCAAAATCATATCTATAACTAGCCTAATGTGTGTGTCCCTACCTTAACTCATACAGTAGGTCATTATAAAGTGTGCTGGATTCCATAAAAGGGGGGTTAGGGTTAGGGTTAGGGTTAGGACAGAGCTTGAACAGAAACACAAAAAGACAAGTGTAGGCTGGTACCAGTAGGCAGGGCAGGGTCCATGGGCTTCTCCCAGGAGTTGACTTGTTCCCAGGTGAATCCATTGGTTCCGAGGGAAACGCTGTACCCACAGCTGCTGTATGACTCCTCAAACGTACAGCCACCTGAAAAGCAGAAGAGAAAGATGCCTACATTAACAGATGCCATTTTTCTACTGAGCAAGCAGTTTTTGGTCTATATTGTTGTACAAGAACAATGCAAGTGTGGATGAACCTCAGACTTTTCATGTTGAATAACAACCATCCACTCAACATGGAATATGTATCTGGACTGAATCATGATGAGACATCTCCTAAAATGAAGCTGGTATAAAAAATAGAAAGGCATCGACCGCTGGGTAAGCGACAAGCCTCGAGCAACTAAATGAAACATTGGTTGAAAGGATGAATTGTGTCATATTGCTACAACTAAAAAGACAGTTGACAACAAAACTTCCTCTTTCGAATACCAACCTTTTTTAGCATGTGGATAAGCCATCTGGATTCAATAAAGCAATGGCAAGCAGTGCCAATTAAAAAAGCTGCACAGGAAATACAAATTACTGATAGCAAACACTGAATGGCTGATTCAGTCCATTAAACAATAAAAAAATGGGCTTTGATATAATGAAAGTCTATCCAACGCGTTGGTATTACCCATATTTGTGATTAAGTTCTTTGTTTTCAAACCACATCTTTAATCACATTAATGAGCTCTGAATTTCGATGAAATGTTTAAAACAGAGCCTTTCTAAGCTGCTCGGGTATTGTTAACACTTTTATAATTAGTAATTAAGTTATCAGCATGAAAGGAAAGAGCCGGTGCATAACTGACAGGGGCTGTTTATCAGAAAGAGAGCAGAGGGGAAGAGAGGAAGAGTGATAGTGAGACAGAGTGTGCCTTTACATGAGAGGGAGTGATGGGTAGATGAGAGAAAGCTTTATGTGTCAACATGATTAAGTCACAGAGTCATGTCGTTATTTCATGGCCCGGATAAGACACATTTTCCACCACATTAACCTTCTCCGCTGGCCTGGAGCTCACATCCACATACATAGCTGCGCTTCCCTAATTAGACATGCTTTGACACACAACTTATTTAATTTGTTTTGAAGCATTGAATCGGCCAAACGTCATTGCTTTATTCATTAATTCATCACTTAATGCTGATCCTATTTCATTATTTGTATCTGCCTCTTTGCTGCTCCCCAGAGTGCATTTGTCTCTTTAAACCTCATTAAAACAATATAAAGATATTTCTTTCTTCAAAATGTAAGCTGCGACATACAGAATTAACAAAGAGGCATGTAGTGAACATAAGGGTCTATGCAATACTTGAAACGTAGCAGTATTGATCATAATTTGGGCAAAGAATGTTATTGTCGAGAGTGATAAATCTTAACTATTGGATTGATTTCCAATATACTATACAAGATGCATGGTTCCCAGATGATGAATTCTAACACCATGAATTATCTTACCATTTTTTAATTTAGGTGAAATGCTCAGTATTATTGAAGTACATGTGCAGAATTTGTCTAATTATAAATGCTAGCATGCTAAACTGGTGAGCATTTCTTTAAACGTCTTCTTTCTACATTGCCATTGCCAGCATGTAGGCATGCTAGCATTAGCATTTAGCTCAAATCCCACTGGGCTTAAGTACAGACGCACTAAGCCGTCTATAAGTATGTTTTTTTTCGTAAGTTTAAAATGTAGCAATTTGTCCAAACAATTCAGGTTCTTAAGTATAGGTGTAACATTGTAGAACAAATATTGTAAGACTTAATGGGGCCCTATTATTCTTTTAGGGGTTTTCCCTTTCCTGTATTGTGTTCTCTAGGCAGGGGTGCACATAACTGGTACGCAGGTACGCATGCGCGGCAACAATCTGAAATGCGTACCGTCATTTGTGTCACAAAGCGCATTTGCGTACCGACGTAAATGTGAATGTGCTTTTCGGTCTCCGTGTGCACAGACAGGGCTGCTGTTAACGTCGGTCTGTACAGCAGCCCTGCGCTAAAACAGCTGATCACAACGTTCACACGCTCCGCGGTCACGAAGCTCTGTACTCTACTACCACCCCCCCCGTTGACAATCGTCAGAAGATGGAGTACCAAACACTGACTCCAGGTACCTCACTGAGAAAGTTGTGTGCACCCCTGTCTATAGGTTTGTGTGCATGTAAATGGTCTGCAAAGGCTAAAATCCTTGTGTTCCCTCCCTCCACACACTAAACCCCCCCCCCCACCTGAAACGCCTCCATTGGACTCCTCAGTTTTCTTCAGTAACATAGTGACATCACTATGTAACACTCACACTTCTATTGTCTAGCACTCAAACAGGGGGAGAGACATCTCTGATGCAGTGGACCAATCACAACAGAGCCGATCAGCTAACCAATCAGAGCAGACCAGGCTCTGGTTTCAGACAGAGGGTGGAAAGAGGTTCTGCAGCAAAGGCAGTATGAGAAACATAAAGAGCTTTTTGAACATTAAAGCATGGAGACATGTCCCAGTAGAGGCACAAAATATAAATATGAAACATGGAAATTAGCATAATAGGTCCTCATATTCCCAGGCGCACTGTCCAGACTGTGAAATACACACATAGCCTATACACCCTAAAATCTGAAATAAAAAAATGTGTGGTATCGTTTTGATTATGCCTCCTTAAGCAAGACTTACATCAACTGGGAAATCAAATAAAAAAGAAATCCCTATCTGAAGTCTGTTTGAAAAACAACCTCCAGCAGTGCGAAACTGGGAAAAACACAGTTTTTCTTAAAGATATGAAAATAGCTTTTATAAATTAATCAATACTGAGATAATTAGCCTCTGTCGCCCCCTCATTGTTGGGTGATCTCATTAGAAATGGAAGGAAATCAAAGTGATCTCATTAAAACAGAGTTATTAACAGCAAGGTGGGGGTGGGAGGGGGCTGTGGGGGATCTCGCATCAATATTCAATATCAGATCTGCAATTTTAAGACCAATATCAAGGGATGAGAGAGAAGTAGCTCACAGCGATAGACTAGACTGTTTGTGTGTGTGTGTGTGTGTGTGTGTGTGTGTGTGTGTGTGTGTGTGTGTGTGTGTGTGTGTGTGTGTGTGTGTGTGTGTGTGTGTGTGTGTGTGTGTGTGTGTGTGTCCATGCCCCTGATCTAGTTTGCAAATCAGTGCAACACCTCCCTGCCCCACGCCTCATTGACAGAAACGCTCAAACATAATCACACACAAATGCTGCGTGTCGGAACATTTGCATAATGAAAATGAAACACTCTGGTCTGATTGTGGGTATGAGCTAACACACATGACCACCGCACAGTGAACTGAATGTGGTGCATACTGAAGGTGTGTGGGCTGTAGCTGTGAGGGTGTGCGCATAAATGTTTGTTAATGTCTATGTACGCACATGCCACCAATACACGCAGAGTCCCTTCATCTCTGCTAATTACCATTCCTGTAACCAATATAATCAAATATGAATGTGATGACTACAGCATGCTAATAGGCACACACACATGCAGTGAGAGAACAACCAGTCAATATTGATTTCAAAGTTAACTAAAAAGTTAAAGTTATTTTGGCTACATTTATTCTGTCTTTTATTGTCAACATTGCATCCAACCATAAACCGCTGCAAATATTTTATTTAAATCTGTTTTTTCTTTTGGTGTGGTCGCTTTTGTCAACATAAAAAAGTTTAAAGAGGCCCTATTATGCTTTTTGGGTTTTTTACATAGGTTTTTAGTGCATGTCAATGGTCTGCAAAGGCTAAAATCCCTGTGTTCCCTCCAGAGGGAGTTTCTCTCCGGGTCAGGGGGAAAAGAGGTGCTGCAGCACAGGCAGTATGAGAAAAATAAAGACCTTTTTGAACATTAAAGCATGATAACATGTCACAGTAGAGGCACTACTAATTTGAACCTGAAAATGAGCATAATAGGGCATATTTCACCATAATGGCAGAAGGTCAAAAAGCGAACTATCTTTGCCGAGTAGGTTATTTATTTTGGTTTGTTTGTCCTGCAGGATTACATCGTAATTACTGACATTTTTGTGTGGTCGTTCAAATAACTCGTGACTCTTCTCGTTTTCCATGGTTTTGCCAATGTACCTAAATGGGAATTGCTTATTGAGTATTAGTATTAGTAGCATTTGGAAACGTAAACACATTTTTTTTCCTCATTAAAGAGCTAGCATAAACACAAACATTGAATTTAATTATCTCGCAAGGCTTTGAATGGCTAGGATGAACCTCTCACCTTGTTATCTGTGCTTGACAAACAGAGTAATTAAACAAAAACAAATTCACGTCAGCAGTCAGAGAAACGTGTTGATGGTTCACAGCTAATTAAACATTTCATCTATGCGAGAGCTCGTTTAACATTTGTATTGAAATAACTGCAGCTTTTGTTTCAAAAAAACATTTGAGAACATCTGTCCAGGGACTACAGATGGAAAATCGCCTCTTCGCTAACTGTAGCCCATCTACAGAAGCTAGTGATGTGCACTTTCCCTTCTAAACGAACTAATAATATACAAAATTGATATCTTGAATGAGAATTAATGGAATTAGCTTATTTACCTATTTTTAAATAAGTATGACCGTTCGACCAACTTGGCATCATAACTTACATTACATACTGTAAAATGTATGTTTAATAGTCCACCGCCGCTAAGACATCCATTAACTAGCATAGTGTAATATGTAAAGAGGTTATTCATGCATTCATAACTGATGATTCTGCTTGAGCTCACATCCGGTCCATTTACACATGTATTAGACTGTATCACTGAGACACACACTGACATTATGCAAGCAACCTGGCCTTCAACCAGAACACCCCCCTACACATAAACACATCCTCTGATGATTAGGGATGTCCCGATCACCTTTTTTTGCTCCCGATCCGATTCCGATCATTTGATTTTGACAATCTGCCGATACCGATTTTTCCCGATCCGATCTTTATGCAATGCATTAAGAGGAAAAAAAAGGTAACAGATAACGGCTGGTCATCCAACGCGATGAATTCAGCTATCTTGGCTGTTATTTTGTTGGCCTTTTCACTGTTCTGGGGCAGTTTCTCTTTCCTTTTAAAAGTCTCTGAAAGTGTTGGTTGT